CAACTTACAGAGGCCCTAAGCAACTCAGTAAGATGGTATCTCAAAATAAAATATAAAAAGTGCTGGGGGGCTGGGGTTGTGGCTCAGTGGTAGAGTGCTCACCTTGCACAGGTGGGACCCGGGGTCGATCCTCAGCACCACATAAAAATAAAGGCATGGTGTTATGTCTATCTACACCAAAAATGAATATTTTTTTAAAAAGTGCTGGGGATGTGACTCTGTGGTTAAGCACCCTGGATTCAACCCACATTCAAAAACCAAAAAGCAGAGAATTGGGATACCCCAAGGCCATTCTGGGTGGGTCTGGGGAAGGGGGTGGTTCAAGTTCAACCCTTGCATTGGTACTGGGAAGCTGATGGGCAGGAGCTGGGATGGGAGAACCTGCTCCTTTGCAGGCAAGTAGACATTCCTACCTGGTGCTAGCTTTCCTGTCCCCTGCTGCATACTTGTCCCTTGGGGGAGCACCCCCAACTCCCCTATTCATGGGCCTCAGCAAGCAGTGCTTTCAGGATGGCTTAGTGGAGTCCCTAAGAGGTGTCCCACTCTAGAGCGAAGCTGGGTCTTGCGAAGCTAAGGGGCCAAGAGCTGGGGCTGGAGGAATGCCCTCCTTGGGAGCAGGAGCAACCCCCTCACCAGAGAGCCAGGCACAGGGGACAGCTGGCTCAGGGTCCCAGGGTGCAGGGCTGCCRCTTACCTGCGTGAGCTCCCCAAGGAAGTGCCCTAGCGTAGGCTTGCTCTGTGCCTCTTGGGGACTTCCTCAAWAGGACGGAGGCAAAAGGATCAGAAAGTTGGCTCTTAAATAACTTTCCAACAGCTCCCACCCTCCTCTGCCCGTCCTACTGGTTTTCTCCTCCCCCTTCTAAAAGCTGGAGCTAGCAGAGGAGTTTAGAGGACTTCCCCTTTACTTCTGCAACCCTGCCCTGTTGATGGGGCATGCGCCCCCTTTCTCCCCGCCCCCGGCCCCGCGCACTCCTCTTGCTCCCGGTTTCGCATCTCCTCACCATCCCCATCCCCAGTTCTGCGCACCTCTCCCCCCCACCCCGCCCCCACCCCCTCCTCCCTTGGCTGCTGGAGTGGCAGGCGGTCCCCTCCCCTCCTCTTTGGTCAGATGGGCTGGAAGGGTCTTTCACAAAGGAATGTTTTTGCAATGCCAGTTTGGCTGATGTGGCTTGGCAGGAGGGAGGGTCTGCCCTCTCACAGACAGGTCACACAGGCAGCTGTGACCATGCATGAAGCAAAGCAATGTGTCCCTCTTGTGCAAATAAGCCTGCGTTCTTGAATCATCTGGGGAGCCACAGCCACCGCCTAACCACAAAACTTCCTGCAGGACAGCGATGCCCAGCCCCAGGATGAGTAAATTGCCTTGAAAAGCGCCCCACAAATTAGAAAGTGACACTTTGTTTTCTCTCTGAAAGCCATACTGATGTATCTTCAAAAATTAGAAATTGGTGTGAATATTCTATGTGTACACCCAGAGATATGAAAAAATGTGCTCTCTATATGTAATAAGAACTGTGATGCATTCTGCTGTCATATTTAAATAAAAAAAGAAAAAAATTAAAAAGAAAAATTTTCTCCTAAAATTTCCATTTTTTTCTCCCCTCCCCCGAGCCTTTGTTATTTCTAAATACTCTTATGTCAACTGTGGCTAATTCCATCTTCTTTGCTATCCTCAATATCTGAACCTGCCATAGGGAAAAAAAAATATAGATGTCTTTGGTTAGAAATGCTCCCACTTTTTTTTCTACCAAATCTATGAACTTGTCAGCGAATTTATCTAAAGTTTCCTCCTTTTTCTTTTTCTTTCTGTTGCTAAACTGGGAAAGGTCCCTCCTCAACCCTTGTTGTCCAAAGTAAGTGCTCTGGGTCCCCTTCACTTGGTTCCATTTTACCTTCTTGACAGGACTTTGCTGCACTTCTTATCCATCCTTCCTTCTGTTCTCTCACAGCTGCTGCTCATCAGCATTGACAAAATTTCAATTCAAATCTCTTCAATATGTTTAAAACCCTTTGCTCAACCCATGATCCCCCACCTATCCTTCATTTCCTTTTCTCCCCTCTATCACTGAGCTTCTGCCATCTGGCTTCTATCTGAAACAGTTTTAGTCCATTTTGTTCCTATAACGAAATCCCAGAGCCTGGATAATTGGTAGAGAAAGGAGGTTCATTCTGCTTATGGTTCTAAACATCAAGAACATGACACTTGCATCTTCTCAGCATCCAGTGAGTAGCTTGAGYGTGTGTCTTCATGTGCAGAAAAGCAGAAGGAAAAATGGACATGGTCAGAAAAGAGGAAACATGAGGAGTGGCCTCACTATATAAGTGACCATTCCCCTGGAGCTGCTTGAATCSCCTTAATAACCCAATCACCTCTTAAAGATCCCCCACCTGTTGGCACCTTAACATGGAGGACCAGATGTCACCACACATTTTGGAGGGATCAAATCACATTCCAATCACGGCAGTCTCCAACCGTCTATTCTCCAACCAAAGAGCAGGATTAGGTTCCTATTCACTTAATCTTCTGGAAGCACTGAACTATAGCATCCATTCTCTCCTTGAAGAGCCACCCCCTTGGCCACTAGAACATTGCACCTTGCTGTTTCTTCTAGTATAGCTCATGTGCTTTCCTCATCTCCGTAACTGGTGGTTTTCAGTTCCCATCAATCTCACAACATTTTTCAAATCCAGATCTCTAGCCAGAGCTGCAGTCTCCCCTCCCTCACTGCCTTCTGGTCACCTTCACTTGGCATATCCAAGTGACAGCTCATACCCGTCACCTCTAAAATAAGATAGGCTGTCTTCCCTAAAGACCTGGTCCACCTCAGGAGTTCCCTACCTCACCGAATGACCTTTGCATGCAGTTGCCAAGTTAGTCGTGTGGTTCATTCTTGACACTTCTTTCTTCTCCTCCTCAAGCCTTACATCCAATCCTTCATCAAATATTTTCTATTCTACCTCTTGAATACCTCTTGAATTGACCCATTTACCCCTTTCTAGTCCATTCTCCACAATGCAGTCAGAAAGMAATCAGAATGAGCTTTGCAGGACTCAAATCTGAAATCAAGTTCTTTGCCTAAAGCCCTTCCGTGGCTACTTAACTTTGCTTTGGAGATGAATTCCAAAGATTGACTGACAAGGCTCTGTGCAAGCTAGACCCTGCTTTGCTTTCCAGCTCTGTCTTCCTCACACTGTCTTGCTGTTCTACCCCACTCCCCGTTATAGTTTAGACATGCCTGTTCCCCAAAAGTTCCTGTGTTAGTGCAGAAAGGGCAATGATTASATCATGAGAGCTGTGGCTTTAATCAGTAGATTAGTCCATTTGATGGGTTGGTAATTTCAAAGGACTAATTGGTTGGTGACTGTAGGCAGGTAGAGTGTGGCTGGAGGAAGAAGGTCATTGGGGGGGTGTGACTTTGGGGTTTATATTTTGTCCCTGGAACCTATCTTTCTCTGCTTCCTGGCTGCCATGAGCAAAGCAGTGCTTGTCTACCATGCCCTTCCAACATGATGTTTGGCCTCAACTTGGGCCCAGAACAATGGCGTCCCTGACCATGGACTGAGACCTCTGAAAGCGTGATCCCCAAATAAAGTTGTTTTTTTTTTTTTTCCCCTCTGAGTTGTTCTATTCAGGTATTTTGGCTACTGGGAGGAAAAGTTGGCTAACATTMCCTGGCCCCACCTGCACCCTGCTCCAGTCACATTGAACTTCTTAAGTCRTGCATCCTGTCAGAAACACTCCTCTTACCTCTTCCCCTCTTACTGCACGATCATTTCTCATTCACCCTCCCRGATCATGGCCTAAATTGCTCAGATGTCCTGTAAGGAGTTTGTCTCATTAWRGTTCTCCTCATGCTATAGGGTCATRTTCTGTTTCCTTAAGTGTACCCCGACTAGATGACAAGAGGGTGGGGACTCCAACCAGAGTTCCCAGAGAGAGGCTGCTGACCACCTAACTACCCAAAGCCCATCCTTTCTATATGCTTAGAAGGACCCTCGTCATCTCTGATAGTTCTCTTGCCAAACATTAAGCCTAGGAGTCCAGGATTCTAGGCACCCTGACCAGGTGGAATTTGGGGGAGATTAGCCATATTCATACCTTTCAGGTGAGGTTATACTGATTCCAACCCTGGTGGAGCTGTGCATTCAGGACAGGCTTGTCACTTACCGATGATTGGGTGAGCATGTTCCCACATTGGTTAGCTTTCTCAYGCCTTCAAGCCACCAAGCCAGTAGTGCTATGAATGCAATGTACTTCCTTGTGCTTGATAGACAGAGTTAATGAAAGAGTGTCAGAGGCTCCAAGTCCTCGCACATGGTGTTAGCATGCTCTTACARAGCATTGCCTCATGGTCCCGTGGCTTAGACGTCAGACCAGAGGTTTCTGATGAAACTTGAAGTTTGTGACTTCTTCAGAAGCAGTSTGTGTTCACGACCCCGAGGTTCCCATGTGTGGAACAATGTTTTCCACCTCTGAATGCCCCTTGCTTGGCATGGGAGTGGCATAGTGAAGGTTTTTAAGAAATTCAGCAGGTGTGGTCAGGTCAGGAAAACAAAAACCACATTGGGTATTTTTTAAAAGAGACAATTTAATGGTCTCTCAAATCCTCAAATCCAAACCTTCATCAAATATTTTCTATTTAAAAATAGAATTGGTTACCCAGATGATAGGAGAGACAAAAAGCCAAACAGAAGATGTCGAGTCAACTCAGCAGTTAGCAACAGCAGAGAGGAATTGGCACGGTGGTGCAAGGGCTGAGGTTCCGTGGCTGGAGCTGGATCCCTGGGGACCTGTCTGGTGGGAGCCTGAGATTCAGTTATTACCAGAAACACAGTCTGAGGTCAAGAGGGAGGGAAACTCTGTCTCAATGTGATCCTTTTCTTCCACTGTCCCTCCATGGGCTCCCACTTGCTGAACTTGGTTGAAATCAGTTGACAGGGTCTAGGAAATAGTCTGCAAAGGTAGCACCACCCTTCCCTGTCGGGAGTCCCCAAGATGACCCTGTGATTTGCTAGTAGGACACACCAGCCTCAGTCATCTTCGTAACTATGATTTATTATAACAAAAATACAAATCAAACCCAGCAATGGGCAAGGCAGACAGGAAGCAGAAGCTAACAAGGGTGTTCTCCCAGGCCAGCCCCACAGGATACACTTCACTCCCGTTAATGACATGTGACCACCCATGTGTGATGCTATCGACCAGGGGAGCTCCAAAGAGACTCCATATCCAGGGTTTTCTTGGATGAACTTCACATTGACACCTTCCACCTCGCTCATATCCAAATTCCAGGCTCCCCAAAGTGAAGCAGGCATTTGGGATGAACAACACTAGTGTTTTTTGTTTGTTTGCTTTTTTGTTTTTGCAGAATATGGGCACAGGGAGTCACACTTGTCAATTAGGAAATGGTAGGAAGATTCCTGAAATCCAAGTTCTAGATGCCAGGCAAAGGCCAACCCACCTTGCAAGCAGGCCTCTCTCGGGTCCATTTCTGGTTTGCTATGGCAACTCTTCTGCACACCTTCCTCTAATACAGAGTGGAGCTCTCAAACAAACAGTTCCTGGCCTGCACAAAGGACAGTGGACTTTCATCCAGATAGGGCCACCCTTCACCGTCCCTTAAGGACATTGCTGTTGAGACCTCAATGATGGCCTGGAGCAAGAGGAAACTCCAGTAAGGTCAGTGGGGTGATTCAGCTCTGCCCCCAGTTTCCCAGCCTTGCCAGCTGCCATGGGACTTCCGAGGCCATTTGCTCTGCTCAG